ACAGTACCGGATCTTGACAAGAGGGGAGAACGTAGGAGTCCGCTAGGTCAGAGATCGACAACTCGATTTGGCTGGTCTCAGGAGGCGTCCGGCCAAGGCGATCTACGCTCGCTCGGCGCCGCTTAACCAGTGACATAAAAAACAAAGAAAGGATGATCAGAGTTCTCGATCCAAATTCTATCGCTCGATTTTATACCCAGTCTCGGTAACGGTGGAAAATAAACATGAACTCTTTTCCTCTATTTTTTTAGTTTTTTATTTTATTTTATAAAAAAATATTTTTTATGATAACGAAATTATCACTTATCATTAACATAATATCATACAATTAATTGAAACAAGTCGATAGAAAAGATAAAATCTGATAATTATTTATAATCGATTGATATGAAACATTAGAGTCGATCACCGTCCAACATATATTGTCGTGTAGAGATTAGCATATAAAGACGTTTCAAGCTTAGCTCTCCTGTCACCCATATGCATAAAATATCAATGGGGGACGTTAGGGTAATTGTAAGCTATATTCTTTATAAAAAAACACAGAAGACTGAAAGGAGAAAAGAAAGCATGGTTATGGTTCTCGACTACGGGAGGACTTACGGGTGCACTATCATTTTTGGTTTGGCCCGCTTACAATTTGCATCGTCGAGTCGGGTTTAAAATCAATTGATCTCGATCCAAATTCTAACACTCGGTTCGGGTTATGCCCAGTCTCGGTAACTGTAACATCCCATTAGTCCCACATCGGAAATGCGCAATGTGTATGATTGGCTTATAAGGGTCTGATGAGTATACTCTTATCAACTTCAGCTTAAGCATTTTGGTCAGTGGTTTAGACCAAACGAAGTTGATAGGACAGTTAGCCCATCAGGCTCGGGTCATTATATTTGGTATCAGAGACAACCTAGCATTTGGGCATGGTTGAGGGGGCTCGAGTAGGAAAGGGCTACCCGTAGACGGAGTCAATGGACTCGTCACGACGTGGAGCCACCACTGGGCTACGCCTCACATGCACTATGCTAGGGTTTGATCTGGGTTATGTTGGGGCTTGACGAGGACGTCAAGCCTTTGAGTGGGGGTGATTGTAACATCTCATTAGTCCCACATCGGAAGTGCGCAATGTGTATGATTGGCTTATAAGGGTCTGATGAGTGTACTACTATCAACTTCAGCTTAAGCATTTTGGTCAGTGGTTTAGACCTAACGAAGTTGATAGGCCAGTTAGCCCATCAGGCCCGGGTCATAATAGTAACGGTGGAAAATAGACATTAACTCTTTTCCTCTCTTTCTCAATTTTTTATTTTGATTTATAAAAAAAATATTTTTTATGATAATGAAATTATCACTTATCATTAAGAAAATATCGTATAATTAATTGAAACGAGTTGACGGGGAAGATAAAATCTGATAATTAATTATAATCGATTGATATGAAACATTAGAGTCGATCACCGTCCAACATATATTATCGTGTAAAGATTAACATAGAAAGACGGTTCAAGCTTAGCTCCCCTGTCACCCATATGTATAAAATATCGATGGGGGACATTAGGATAATTGCACGCTATATTCTTAATAAAGAAACACAGAAGACTGAAAGAAGAAAAGAAAGGATGGTTAGAGTTCTCGACTACGGGAGGGCTGACGGGTGCACTATCCTTTTTGGTTTGGCCCACTTACAATTGGCATCGTCGAGTCGGGCTTGAAATCAATTGATCTCGATCCAAATTCTATCGCTCGGTTCAGTTTATGCCCTGTCTCGGTAACGGTGGAAAATAGGCATTAACTTATTTCCTCTCTTTTTCGGTTTTTTATTTTGTTTTATAAAAAAAATATTTTTTATTATAACAAAATTATAACTTACCATTAAGATAATATCGTACAATTACTTGAAACAGGTCTTTAGGGAAGATAAAATCTGATAATTAATTATGATCGATTGATATGAAACATTAGAGTCGATCACCGTCCAATATATATTATCGTGTAGAGATTAGCATAGAAAGACGGTTCAAGTTTAGCTCCCCTCTCACCCATATGCATAAAATATCGATGGGGGACGTTAGGTTAATTGCAAGGTATATTCTTTATAAAGAAACACAGAAGACCGAAAGAAGAAAAGAAATGATGGTTAGGGTTCTCAACTACGGGAGGGCCGATGGGTGCACTATGCTTTTTGGTTTGGCCCACTTACAATTAGCATCGTCGAGTCGGGCTTGAAATCAATTGATCTCGATCAAAACTCTATCGCTCGGTTCAGTTTATGCCCTGTCTCGATAACGGTGGAAAATAGACATTATCTCATTTCCTCTCTTTTTCGATTTTTTATTTTGTTTTATAAAAAAAATATTTTTTTTAATAACGAAATTATCACTTACCGTTAAGATAATATCATACAATTAATTAAAACAAATCGATAGGGAAGATAAAATCTGATAATTAATTATAATCGATTGATATAAAACATTATAGTCTATCATCGTCCAACATATATTATCGTGTAGAGGTTAGCATAGAAAGACGGTTTAAGTTTAGCTCCCCTATCACTCATATGCATAAAATATCAATGGGGGACGTTAGGGTAATTGCAAGCTATATTCTTTATAAAGAAACACAGAAGACTGAAAGAAGAAAAGAAAGAATGGTTAGGGTTCTCGACTACGGGAGGGCTGACGGGTACACTATCTTTTTTGGTTTGACCCGCTTACAATTGGCATCGTCGAGTCGAGCTTTAAATCATGTGATCTCGATCCAAATTCTATCGCTCGGTTCGGGTTATGCCCAGTCTCGGTAACGGTGGAAAATAGACATTAACTCTTTTCCTCTCTTTTTTAGTTTTTTATTTTGTTTTATAATAACGAAATTGTCACTTATCATTAAGATAATATCGTACAATTAATTGAAACAAGTCGATAGGGAACATAAAGTCTGATAATTAATTATAATCGATTGATATGAATCATTAGAGTCGATCACCGTCCAACATATATTATCGTGTAGAGGTTAGCATAGAAAGGCGGTTCAAGCTTAGCTCCCCTGTCACCCATATGCATAAAATATCAATGGGGGACGTTAGGATAATTACAAGCTATATTCTTTATAAAGAAACACAGAAGACCGAAAGAAGAAAAGAAAGGATGGTTAGGGTTCTCGATTACGGGAGGGCTGACGGGTGCACTATCCTTTTTGGTTTGACACACTTACAAT